TTTAGTGGGGCAAAATCATACTCGCACATAGCAAAGAACTAAATGCAAAATCTAAAACTATAAAAACTCTTAGAAGAAAACATGAAAATAGCATAAAAACATTGGATTTGTCACTGATTTCTTGGATAAGACATGATAGATGCTGGCCAGGTACTGTGGCTCACACATATAATCTCAGCATTGGAAGCATTGAAGAGTGCTTGAGCCCAGGAGTTCAAACTAGCCTGGGCAATGAGTAAGACCCCATCTCTATAAAAATATTTGTTTATAAAACTAGCTAGACATAGTTGTGCATAATTATAATCCTAGCTACTCAGGAGAATGAGGCAAGAGGATTGTGCTTGAGCCCAAGTGTTCGAGGCTTCAGTGAGCTGTGATTGCACCACTGCACTCCAGCCTGGGTGACAGAGAGTGACCCTATCAAAACAAAAACAAAACAAAACAAACAAACAAAAAGAATAGGCGACAACAACAACAAAATAAACAAATTGGACTTCATGAATGCTTAAAAACTTTGCAAGCAAAAAGAACAAAGCCGGAGGCATCACACTGCCTGACTTCAAAATATATTACAAGGCTATAGTATCCAAAATATCGTGATATTGGTATGAAAACAGACACATTGGCCAATGGAACAGAGTAGAGAACCCAGAAATAAATCCATGTATTTATAGCCAACTGATTTTTGACAAAGGTGCTCAAAACATACACTGAGGGAAGGACGCTGTCTTCAATAAATGGTGCTAGAAAAATTGGATATCCATACGCAGAAAAATGAAACTAGACCCCCATCTCTCATCACATATGGAAATAAACTCAAGATGGATTACAGACTTAAGCATAAGATCCGAAACTAGTAGAAGAAAACATAAGAGAAACATTTTAGGACATTGGTCTTGACAAATACTTTATAATTAAGACCTCAAAAGCACAGGCAGCTGAAACAAAAATTAGACAAATGTGACTATACTAAACTAAATATCTCTGTACAGCAAAGGAAACAATCTACAGAGTGAAGATACAATCCACAGAATGGGAGAAAATATTTGCAAAACATTTATTCAACAAAGAACTAATATCCAGAATATGTAAGGAAATCAAAGATCTCAATGGTTTAAAAAATCCCATTAAAAAGTGGGCAAAAACCATGAACAGATATTTCTCAAAAAAAGATATATAGGCTGGGCACGCCTGCAATCCCAGTACTTTGGGAGGCTGAAGAGGGTAGATCACAAGATCAAGAGATTGAGACCATTTTGTCCAACATGGTGAAACCCTGTCTCTACTAAAAATACAAAAATTAGCTGGGGGTGGTGGCACCCGTGCCTGTAATTCCAGCTACTTGGGAAGCTGAGGCAGTAGAATCATTTGAACCTAGGAGGCAGAGGCTGCAGTAAGCTGAGATCATGCCACTGCACTCCAGCCTGGTGACAGAGCGAGATTTCGTCTCAAAAAAGAAAAGAAAAAAAAAAAAAAAGACATACAAATGGCCAACATGTATATGAAAAAATGATGTACATCACTAATCATCAGAGAAATGCAAATAAAAACCACCATGAGATATCATCTCTCACCCCAATTAAAATAGCTATTATCAAAAGACAAAAAATAACTAATGCTGGTAAGGATGAAGAGAAAAGGGAACTCTTATACACTGTAGGTGGGAATATCAATTAGTACAGTCGTTATGGAAAACAGTAGGGAGATTTCTCAAAAAAGCTAAGAATCAAACAGCTACCATACAATCCAGCAATCCCACTACTTAGTATTTAACCAGAGGAAGATAAATCAGTGTATTAAAGGGATAATTACACTCCCGTGTTTATTGCCGTACTATTCACAACAGCAAGGATATGAAATCAACCTAAGTGTCCATCAATAGATAAAGGGATAAAGAAAATGTGGTATATATACATAATGGAATACTATTCAGCTATAAAAAATAATAAAATCATGTCATTTGCAGCAACATGGATGCAATGGGGTATCATGTTAAGTGAGATAAACCAGGTTCAGAAAGACAAATATTGCATGTTCCCACTTATACGTGAGAGCTAAAAAAGTTGATTTCATGGAGGTAGAGAGTAGAAAGATAACAGAGCCTATCTGTGGGTGGGGGCAGGAGATAAAGAGAGGTTGGTTAATGGGTACAAACACAGAAGGAATAAGTTTTAATGTTCAATAGCGGAGTAGGGTGACTACGCTTAATAACAAAGTGTTGCATATTTGAAAATAGCTAGAAGAGAAGACTTGAAATGTTCCCAAAATATAGAAATGATAAATACTTGAGGTGATGGACACCCCAAATACCCTGACTTGGTTATGACAGTCTATGCATGTAACAAAATATCACCTGTACCTCATAAATACGTACCAATATTGTGTATCAATAAAAACTGTGTATCAAAAGACAGTATCAACAGAGTAAAATGCAATCCACAGAATGGAAGAAAATATTTGCAAATGATATATCTGATAAGGATTGATATCCAAGATATATATGGAACTCATAAAACTCAACAACAAAAAAAGCAAACAAGCCAATTCAAAAATCGGCAAAGGACTTTATAAGCAATTCTTCAAAAATACACAAATGGCCAGTAAGTAAATAAAAAGATGCTCAATCTCACTAATCATCAGAGAGATGCAAATCAAAAACTGCAAAGAGAGACCACCTTGCACCCATTAGAATGGCTACTGTAAAAAACAAAACAAAACAATTCCAGGAAATAACAAGTATTAAGCAAGGATATGGAGAAATTGGAACCCTTGTGCTCTGTTAGTGGAAATGTAAAATGGTATGGCTGCTGTGGAAAACAGTCACAAACTGAAGACTGAATTACTATGATCTAGCAATTCCCCTTCTGGGAACACACACAAAAGAATTGAAAGCGGGATTCAAATAAATGTATAGCCACATTCATAGCAGCATTATTCATAACAGGAAGCAACACAAGTGTCCAACAAATGAATAGATAAGTCAAATGTGGTATATACATTCAATTGAAAACTATTCAGCCTTTAAAGGAAGGAAATCCTGACACATGCTACAACATGGATGAATCTTGAGGACAGTATGTTAAGTAAAATAAGCCAGTTACCAAATGACAAATACTGTATGATTCCATTTATTTGAGGTACTTATAAGTCAAAATCATAGAGACAGAAAGTGGTGAGTGGTTGCCAGGGACTGGGAGAAGTGGAGAACAGAGATTTATTCTGTAACAGGTACAGAGTTTCAGTTTTGCAAGATTAAAATAGTTATAGAGCTGGATCCTGCTGATAGTAGCACATTATGGGTTATTTCACACAACTTTACACTGACCTATACATTAAAATTGGTTAAGATGATACATTTTATGTTATACATATTTTCAGAATGAAAAAAATAGAAAAAAAATTTAAATTAGAATATTTCAATATAATATTTTTAAGAGACAGGGCCTTGCTCTGTTGCCTAGGCTGAAGTGCAGTGGCACTGTCATGGCTCACTGCAGCCTTGAATTCTTGAGCTCAAGTGATCTTCCTTCCTCAGCTTCCCCAGTAGGTAGGATTGTAGGCACACAAAACCATGCCTGACCAATTTAAAAAATTTCTTATAGAGATAGGGTCTCACTATGTTGACCAGACTAGTCTTGACCTCTTAGCCTCAAGCCATCTTCCTGCTTTGGTCTCCCAAAGTACTGAGATTTCAGGTGTACGCCATCCCACCCAACCACAGATGGTTTTTATTTTGTCTTTATAATTCTGTGTATTTCAAATTTTCACCAATGAACGTGAATTAATTTTATAATTAATATAATTAACAAGATGGGATTTTCTGTGTGTTCAGGGGTAAGCTCTACCTACAGGAAAAATTATATAGAGAAACTCATTCCTAACACAGTCTGACCATATTGCATTAGACAATGAGGAAATGCTCTTTGTGTGCCTGATGTTGGTTAGGTCCTGAATATGAAAATATATATATATATATGACATGGTCTCTGTTTTCATGGAGCTTAGACTCTAGAAGGAGACAAGTTTTACTATAATGTTTATTAACTCATTGGCATTAGGCATTTTACTTAGATCATCTCACTTAATCTTTGCAGTAATTCTTTGAAGTAGATATTATTTTTGTCCTTTTTCATAGTGTGAAGCTGAGGCTTAGAGAGGTCAAATGACTTGGCCAAGATCACAGCTAGTAAGTAATGAAGGAGAGCTTCAAACTCAGGTAGACCAGCTCCAGGTGATCTTTATTAAGACTGCCACAGACAACTACGATCAAGGTGACATGTGCTAAGATAGAGGTAAGCACAAGCCGGGCGTGGTGGCTCACGCTTTCAATCCCAGCACTTTGGGAGGCTGAGGCGGGCAGATCACCTGAGGTCAGAAGTTCGAGACCAGCCTGACCAATATGGTGAAAACTCATCTTAAAAAAAAAAAAAAAAAAAAAGGTAAGCACAGAGTGTTATCAGAGCACTCAGAATGTGTGTCTAACCCATACTGAATGGAAGAAAGGATGCTAAGGCTTCCTGGAGGAGGTGGTATGGTCACAAAACAGAACAGGAGTAGGAGTTGGGTCTAAAATAGGTTCTAAACAGTGTTCCAGGCAGAAGCAGCCCTGTGTGCCCTCAGCCCCAAAGCATAGACTGTGGCACACTCAAGAATGCAAGTGGTTCAGTGTGGATGGAGCAAGGTTGCAAAGGTGTGAGGGCTTGGGAAGCAGGGAGCAAGACTGAAACCTTGTCACAAAAGGACATATTTGCCTCATCCAATAATATTGTGTAAAATGAAAATCTATCAGCTTTGCACTGCTGGGTAAGAAAAACAGTTAAGCAGGCTTGCAAAATCCCATTCCTGTTTGGCTGATTACTGCCATGGCAACCCAGCAGTAGCCGACATTGTCAAGGCCTCTTCTTTGGACACAATAATAAATAGTGATAAAACATTACCTCAAGGCTTTATATTTTTGCCATCAGTTAAAATTTTGTTCTTGGCTATGGTGAAGACTTTTCCAAATTACAGAAAAAAAAAAAAAGAAAAAGAAAAAGTATATTTTGAATAATGTACTAGAAATACTTTATGCATGTGCTTTAAGAACTCGAAGCCCTAACATTTCGGGAGTTCTGAAGGGGCTTTCTCCCTCCTATGAATAAGGACTTGGCAGAAGGTAAACAATGACACAGCACTTTGCAATTTTGAAAAGCATTAGCCCCATTATGTCTGTCACGATTTCTGTGGAGGTGAATAGCTACCCCTTCTCCCCTCCTTTCTCTTTTAACTCTAGCTGAAAGAGAGGAGCCAGTCTCACTATTATTGCTGGGTGACAACTGTGTGATGGGTGGGTACTTGTTTCTAAAACAATCCACAAATATTTAGATAAAGTATCATTCTCAAAGGCATTCCCAAATCAGGCAGCTTCTTCAACAAAAGTAATTCTGTAGAGTAACTGAAGGCATCTCAGCTTTGAAGGGAGACCTAGCTGGTTTCAAATGTCAGCTCTCACTCCTGGCAGCTTCACTTTCATGCTTTACCTAACCTCTAGGAGCTCAATTTCCTGCCTTGTAAAATGGAATTTATACCTTCTTCCTTGCAATGTAGTTGAAAGGATTGGAAATAATGAATGTAAATGTGACAAGCAACGTATTTTTTGTTCAACAATTGGTCATAGCTATTACTATTTATTAAGGGTCCAGACTCAGATGATAATTCAGATCATAAAACACTGTGAAATGGCCTCGGCAATAAGTTTGGAACCTTTGATTTACATATCATATTTCATCAATTCTACAGCACATGGTATTTCATGATTTCACATCTCTAAAACTGGGATGTCTCTTACAACATATGATGTGTCCTAGTTAATTGGCAATACTTTTTCTTTCTTAGTTGATCATAAAATAAGAGAGTGTCTTACAATGGGGGAAATCTTAGATTAGATGAAATAGGGTAGCTCCTTTCGGCATATGGAACATTTTACTTTGGTTATAAGCCAACAAATAAAAGAAGGAGCCAAATCCAATTTCTATGCAATAAATCTCTGACAGAAAAGATAAGATTCATGGCAAGTACTCATCTCATCTTTCTGAACTATTGCAACCTGGCAACACATCTGTTCCTAAGAGAAGACGCGTCAGAATCATCCATCCACTCAGTCTCCTATGTGATCCATACAATCTGGTGCCCTTGTTCCATATCTCCTCAACCTTCTCCCCACCCCATGGATTCCTGCTAAAACAAAACAAAACAAAGCAAAAAATACTTAGTTTGATATTTTCAAAGTTGTTTCTAAAAATGGAACCAGGCAAGAATATAATGAACATAATTTTATAGACTTGCAGAAACATGCTAATCACAGTCTTATTGTTGGGGGAGGCAGTAGGAAGAGGCACACACACACACACACACACTCCTCTGTCCCACATTACATATTTCTGCCTTAAGACTTCACATGACGATCCCCAGAACTAGCGCTTTAAGGGAATATGAGCAGTTGGGACCCCAGAGTTGCTGTTGTCACCGGCTTGGAAACAGGAGGTCCACACACATACATTTAATCTTTTAGGTAGCAGAACCAGATTATAAGTAGGTTAGGAGGCACTTGAATGGGGACTCAATCTACAAAAGTGTTAGAATATCATTAGCATAGGCCAGACATGGTGGCTCATGCCTGTAATCCCAGCACTTCGGGAGGCTGAGGCAGTGGATCACAAGACGAGCTTGGCCAACATAGTGAAACCCCGTCTCTACTAAAAAAAAAAAAATACAAAAAAATTAGCTGAGCTTGGTGGTGGGCACCTGTAATTCCAGCTACTTGGGAGGCTGAGGCAGGAGAATCACATGAACCTGTGAGGTGAAGGTTGTAGTGAGCAGAGATTGCTCCATTGCACTCCAGCTTGGGCGACAGTGAGAGACTCCATCTCAAAAAAAAAAAAAAAAAAGTACCATTGGCATAAATTAGCACTCTGATATCAGCTAAGATTTTTTAAAGTGAAACCCTTTGAGATTTTTGAAAGCCTTTATGGTGGCTGAAACATAAAGTTGGTCCTGTTACTAGGAAAGGAGACACTGACCTCTAGGAGAAATGGTTAAAAACAAAACAGAAAACCCCAGCTCCCTCAGATGCTAAGCATGTTTCAAATGAGTGTTTTTGTAGTGCTCATAAGGAAGTCCTACAGTACTCTTATGGGATGAGCCACCAATCCTAAAATTCTGTGCCTGAAATGAATACTTGAGGTAAGTTAAAATGACTACCAGAAACTGCCAAGGACCTACCATGTCACTCTCCTTGCAAGCTAACAAATTAGCCTGCTGCTGTTTCATGGATGCTGGTAGAAGATACTAGTCTCCTGGGTCAAATAGTTTGGAACAAAAGGCAGTCAGTGCCTTGCTTGCAAGATGTGTAGAGATCCTGGAGAATTGTCCAGGATGTAACAGTGATGTAATATGTTAAACGCATGTGATATAGTGGAATATAGCAGAGTAGGTCCCACCCCACTAAACAAATACATATTGAAACATATAGAGAAAGAATATCAGTGGAAAGGGGCACAGATTAGAGACTATCTAGAAAGCCCACATGGTCCACCTCTAACTTGGAACAGTGCAGGTTTAGTCTTCTCATGGAAATGAACTTGAATGAAAAGGTCAATTCATGGAGAAGGAAATAGGACAAAGGAAACAATTGTTCTTTTATTTTTTGTTCAGAGACATACAGATTAAGTATTTCATAATTCAGAGGGAAGAATAAAACTAATTATTTAAAAGTATAGTACTTGGAAAAATCTTTCCCTAAAGGCAATGCAAAGGTTCAAAGTTTAGTTATGGAGAGCTAATTTTTTTTCCTCTTCCTGCATAGATGACTTTTCCTTTCCTTTGATGATATCTAACAGTTCACAGTTCTTTGTCCTCATATTTAAAGGCCTTGAATTGGGAAATAAAGTTGCCAGATTTAAGATGAATGAAACTTGAATTATTGTAAATAGGTATATCAAATTGATTGGAACATTTTGTATAATTTTAAACTGTAATTTAGCATAACTTAGATTTCTAAATTTCTATATTCTAATCATTTTCTCCTTTTCCTAGAATCATTACATTTTATTATAGTCTCCTATGTAATAATCATTTTCTAAATAACTTTTACTAACTGGCAGCCTAATGCTATTTTATTTTTATTTTATTTTATTTTTTTGAGATGGAGTTTCACTCGTGTCACCTAGGCTGGGGTGCAGGGTATGATCCGGGCTTACTGCAACCTCAACCTCCCATGTTCAAGCAATTCTTCTGCCTCTGCCTCCCAAGTAGCTGGGACTACAGGTATGTGCCACCACACCTGGCTAATTTTTTTTTTTTTTTTGTATTTTTAGTAGCAATGGGATTTTCCCATGTTGACCAGGCTGGTCTTGAACTCCTAACCTCAGGTGATTCATCCGCCTCAGCCTCCCAAAGTGCTGGGATTATAGGCCTGAGTCACTGTGCCCAGCACTAATGTTATTTTAGAAAATAACATTTGATATAATACTATTACCTAATCTGTAGAACTTAATCAAATTTATCCAATTATCCTTTTTCTGGTTTAAAATTTAATTCAGGATCCCACATTGTATGTAATTTTCATGCCTCCTTATTCCCCTCCATCTGGATCAATTCCTTTGTCTTTACTCTCTATGACTTTGATATTTTGAAGAGCCTTTCAATTTGGGTTTGTTTGATGTTTTCTCGTGATTCAACAGAGGCTATCCATTTTTGGCAAGAAGGCTGCAGAAGCAATATTGTGCCCTGTACATCTCAGGAGGTTCATGATGTCAATAAACCTCATATTACAAATGGTGATATTGACTTTGGTTAATGTGGTCTTGGCCAGGTTTCTCCACTTGGAATTTATGATTTTTTCCCCATTTTAACTAAAAAGTATCTTGTGAGGAGATAATCTGAGACTCTGCAAAGATCCTATTTCTCCTCATAGTTTTGTTTACTAATTTTTAATATCCATAGACATTGCTAGCCTATAACAGCATTACTGTAGTGTTTACCAAAGAATGATTTTCTATTTCTATCATTCTGTCTGGATTTATAAATTGGAATTCTACTGTAAAGAAGAATTGAATAAGTAATTTATTCACTTATCTATGTGTGTCAGTTCTTTGTTTTACAGTATATGACGTTGATTTTACGTGTCAACTTGACTGGGCCATAGGATGCCCAGATATTCATTTAAGCCTTACTTCTGGTGGGTCTGTAAGAGTGTTTCTGGATGAGATTAACATTTGAGTGGAAAGGCTGAGTGAAGCAGATAACCCTCTTCAGTGTGGGTGGGTCTCATCTAATTTGGCTGAAGGCCTGAATAGAATAAAAGACTAAGTAGGAAAGAATTCTTCCTCTCTATGTGTTGGTCCTCTATCTGGGACCTTGGTCCTCTCTGGTTTTCAGGCTTGAATTTAGAATGGAACTTACACCATCAGCTTTCCTGCTTCTCAGGCCTTCAAACTCAGACTGGAATTATACCATTGGCTCTCCTGTCATTCCAGCTTGTCAATGGCAAATCTTGGAACTTCCTGGCCTCCATAACCACATGAGCTAACTCCTTATAATAAATCTCTTTATATATACAGTCACACATTTCTTGATGACAGGATAGGCTTTGAGAAGTGTGTCATTAGGTAATTTTGTCTTTGTGTGAACATCATAGACTGCACACACACAACTCTAGGTGGTATAGCCTACTACACACCTAGGTTATATGGTATAGCCTTTTGCTCCTAGGCTACAAACCTGTACAACATGTTACTATTCTGAATACTGTAGGCACTTATAATACAATGGTAAGTAGTTACATATCTAAACATATTTAAATGTAGAAAAGGTCCAGCAGAAATACAATTTAATCTTACGGGATCACTGTTGCATATGCAGTCCATCCTTGACTAAAATGTTGCTATGCAGCCTATGACTGAATATGCATAAATATATGTGTATATGTGTATGTATGTATGTATGCGTGTGTATATATATAATATATATAAAATAATATCCTATTGATTTTGCTTTTCTGGAGAACTCAGAATAATACACAATATACAGTCAAAATACTATTTTCCAAAGTTACTTATGTTAGTCCTTTTCCTCTGTGTTCCCTTTATGTTATGTTGTTCATTTGTAATTGTTTATTTGTTATCATTTATACTAATTTTGAAAATTAAGTTTTATCCTATCTGCACAAAATTCTCCAGGACTTTCTAACTCACTTAAAGTTAAATTAGAAGTACTTTCCACATGGCCTAAGCCTACCTGATCTGGTCCTTTTATGCCTCTCTAACCCCATCTCCTTATCATCTCCTTGCTTTCTCCCGTATATCAACATGGGTGAGTCCCTCACTTCCTTCAGGCTTCTGTTCAAGCGGTATCTTATATAGTTATTTCTTTGGCTGCCTTAGTTACAGAAATAAGAACTCCATGAGGGCTTTGTTTCATTTACTGTCATAGTTCCTGATCTAAAACAGTACCTGGAACTGTTCTAGTAGTAGAAACTAAATACATATGTATATATTTGTATTGAACATTTTTCCCCTCCAACTTTGTTAAAATATGATTGACAAATAAAAATAGTACACATTTAAGATGTACAACATGATGATCTGATATATAGATACACTGTGAAATTATTATTACAATCAAGCTAATTAATACCAAACATTTGTTGAATTAACCAAATTCATGTTTCATTAAGAAATATCTTATAAATGCTTGAGAGGATGGGTTAAAAAAAGACATATCTTAAGATGTTTTAGCTATTAATAATAAGTGTCAACCGATAAGTTGCCAGCATAAGGACTGGCAATCTGTATTTCTGCCTTGAATCCATGTTACAGTAACTGTGTGAGTACAGAATGTGATTTAGTCTATTCATTAGAATATTTGCCTTCAATATACTCCTCCACATCTCTTCTAACAGCTGCCTGTCCTTATATAAATGAAACATGTTTTCTCCTAAATTCTTCACAATAAGTATTATTTTTATAATTAGAGAAAAAGAAAAAGCTATTAAAACAAAAAGCTCACATGTTAAAGCATAAGTTCTTGACATAAAATGATTGTGATACTCCTCCTAACTCTTCACTCTGCATGTTGACAGGCTCCAGAGTCAACTTTTAAAGAACCTGTCTAAAATAATTACCCTGAAACATAAGTGCACCTATACGTAGGCCATTTACTATTGCGTAAGCCAG